TGAGTCCATTACTCCCCCTCAAGGATTTTTGGTCAGTTTGTGGATTATTCGAAAAAGGCAAGCAAAGTACTATCTATTCAATTTCTTCAACCCAAGATGATCACACAATTTCCGCCAACATTAATCCAATATCTGCTTTTTATCAGAGTTTCAACTATCAACCATTTTTCCGAACTGTGCTTTTATCTAGTAATACTATGTACCTTGAGAGTCTAAAAATATCCTTCTTAACCAGATTCCCCCTAATTCTTGTTTGTTCTGCCGAAGCCTCATCAGTTACAGTAGCTTGAAAATAAGTTGAGCTGTCGAGAAAACTCTGAAAAAACTTTGCTGTGAACTCGTGCACTGCGAACAGCTGGCCACAGCCACATCGACACCATTTCAACCGGCTGACACATTTCCACTTACCGTTTCCTCCAACACCAAATGCACAGCTTTAGCTTTCCCCGCATCATTGCACTTTATTTTCAACAATTCACTCTATTTGCTCAAGGTATATCAAGCAAATTGATAAGAGTTAGGTTTGCCTTGTCAAGAGTCAAAAGTCAAGAGTTCTTCAAAGCAAATGCAAGGAAGAAGCCAGAAGAAGCTCTACATTTTTTCCATTTTATTCAGCACATGCACTTAGATTAGCTCTTTTTATCTTACCGCTTTCGTACCGTACTTCGCAAAATTTTTGAGCACTTTTTTATGATTGATATGTCGTTACCACAGAGAATCGAATAGGCCCTATGAGCGAGTCAAATATTCACTTTGAGAAACCCAAGTAGCTGGAACTAGAATTTAGAAACTTTGTGAAAATAAATTCGTTCAGTAGATCAATGTTTCTCGTGGTAGATTTAGCGCTAGTACAAGAAACTCTTTATTCTGGTCCCCTTGAACTCGATTTGCGCTGTCTGGCTCAATTTCTGATTATTTGGATTATAAGAAATTCGGATGCTTGTCAGAAGCTTTCATTAATTTTATAACAACCAAGAAGTACCTACTCGTGAATGTGCCAAATTTGCAAATGAGTTTTCAAAAGAATTCGCTAAACTAAAATTAGTTTTCAAGCAGAAGCTTGTTCTGATGGTAAGAACAAGGCCTGCCTCAATGAAATCTGGACTAATTATCGAATACCATTTCATCAAATCGTATGTTATAATAAAAATATGGGCTTCGAATCTCGTAATAGTTCTTCAGGGGATAAGCTCGCTCTGGTCGGTTCTATCTACTGAAAAACTTCAATCAGGGATTTTTTTTGTGCCCACAGCTCGAGTTCGCTGTTCTGCCAACCTTATCCACATTGGCAGTAAGCTTTGAGTTTATATAGTGAAACTTTCAATTCCATTTCCAAGCTCACCTTATAATTGAGTTAACAAGATGATAGAGAGTTTTTATCCAATATAAGCTGTAATTTTGATTTGTTTACGGGTTCAGAGTTCTTTATATATTCCGATGGATGAATGTCGTGCCTTCACGAATTAGCATCTGTAGCTTGGTTTTCTCGAAACTTGAAGTTCCTTGAGTTATTTAGCTGTAAGAAAAGTTGTAGCGGAACTCTAAAGCTGGGAGAGACTTTCAAAATGATCCTTCTCCTGTGGGATATGAATTAGAAAACATAAAAGAGCTTTGGGTATTTGTTAGCGAACAGTTCGAGTTGTACTCCAAACTATGTGGTTTACTGCTTGAAATCGATTAAAGAAAACGTTGATTCTTTACTCTGCAGGCTGTTCTCGAGTTTACTAGCCTCTGCATTTAAAATTTTGAAATGTTTGAGAACCAAAAACAGTCTCCTATCTACGAAGATTGTGTTTTTCTCATAGAGATGCTCAGCATGAGCTTCGTGTATTGGCATTTGTAGACAAAATCTTTGCAGCCGAGATTTCACAAAGGCATCATTCTCATCACAGAATGATTTTTTGGGACATTATTTGAGATTTGAAAGACCATCAAGATTTTTTTGCCGGCAATTTTCTATTATACGCTGGTCTCCTAGAATCGTTTTGTTTGCTGTTGTAGCCGTTTTCTAGGTAAGTTTCAGCCAATGGTGTTCCCAGGTTTGATCTACGACTATTATCAGTTTGAGAATTCCATATGTTTCTGTCGGTTAGCCTGGTTTAAAAACTACAATTTCCTTTTTCTATAAGAAGCTGCCCGTTTAGAGCTTAGATCAAAATGTACTCGAGAATTACAAACGCTGCCGGAAAACCTTTCATATGCGCCAAAACTTGCACTGTTAAGGAAGCCATGTCAGAAGTTAATTCACTGTTTAGGAGTACATTCATAGTGATAAGCTATAATTGCTATTTCACTTATCTCCCCGTTTTCTATTTAATATTATGTGGACTGCCTTATGATTGAAAAATCAGTATCCAGAAGGTTTGGAAGTACACGACACTGTACAAAATAACTCATTACCTGATAATTTTTCCTCTCTGTCCCCTCTCCTATGTCTTAACTCTTCGGTGACATACGGTATACACGCTTCTGTAAGCGTATATGCTTCCCTGTGAACGTCTTGACAAGCACTGCGCACTTCTTTAGAAGCCGCCACAGCTCAGTAGCCCGAAGGCATAGCCGAGGGGTTTACGGTAGATTGTGACTGGCTGTATGTCTAGTTGAGAGGCAGGCGGCGTATGTTCATAGCGCTTTGATGGATGAGACTCGGAGGGTCGGTGGCGCGCGCTGCAGCCGCCGGCAGCAGCAGCGAGCGCCGCGATCTCGCCGCCGCGACGATCGAGGCCGCGGGCTGCCCGGCGCTCGAGCGAGATGGATAGCCGCAGCCGACGGCGGCGCCTTTCATCTCGGTGCCGCCAAAGGCCAGATAACCAACTCGCCACGCAAACTACACGGATTCACCATGACTAAAGCCAGATTAGAGGGCTCTCTGGATTCGAGTGCGGACTTGAAACAGCGATGGCTTTGAGGGAAACACCATCGGGCATGTTGAATGATTATGGGGTAGAGATAACGCGTTGGACGAATTGAAATTATCCAAAAACTTTTTGGAACAATGTTGGTGGGAAGTTTTATGACGTTGTGAAGTTCGCGATTTTTTTGCCCTGATAAGCGATGGCAGTGACCTACCAGCAAATCTTGGATTAAAACTTAAGGTTACGGTGATTTTTTTCCATCTGAAATATAAGGATGAAAATGCGGTTAATTATAATATTTTAACTTATTTTAGTTAACGCAGGTGTGCTGCGATAATTCTGCCTCGTAAAGATTTTGACCTCGAAGTGTTCATAGATGCGGCGACATGAAGTTATTGTCCGCAGGTTCAGGTTTGAGGAATGTAAAGCAGGACATAAGCATATAATATTCTGTTCAGTTTGCTATCGTCCGCACCACAACCGGATTTTCAGAAAAAATCAAATGAAAGTGTTAGTTATATCGGATCGCAAAATCAGCTCATTCCGCTTGGTATTTAAGACAGGGTGATCTGTACAAAAATGTTCTCGTGACTCGTAATTCAATATTTGAAAATGTAAGAACAAAAATTCTGCAGTAGCACAAGAACCACATTTTGCATGACAATCCGCTTTATCAAATAAAGTGAAAAGATCTTGACATCATTTTATCAGCTAGTTACTAAATTTTAAATTTTCAAATTTTCAACTTACATACCTTCCATGCGGAAGGTATGTAAGTTGGAAGGTATGTAAGTTAAGTGCCAATAACCGACCAAAATTTACAGCCTCCCTATAGGAATCACGGTATATGTTCCCATGTAATCTTTGCTGCAGTCTTCCAATTCCCCAGCACAAATGGTAAAGAAGTTGAAAGGGGGAAATTCTGCTGATTCTTGGCGAGAGCTGAATGATCCTGCAAATTTTAATAGAATTACCGAAATGCTTCTGCTAGGCACCGATAACCTCAACAAGTGATTAGAATAAACGAAAGTCACAACCACTACAGCATATTTATGGATTCATGTTTTCTTTGGGTTCTCACTGATAAAAAAAAGTTCGAAGATGGTGAGAGTATCTTTGCCATTACACTCATCGTGCTCAAGAACCTTGCAATTGCGATCAATTTTTTGAAAATTTCCTTTTCTCATAAGAATGAAAGGTTTGAACTTATTTCTCCAAACTACATTACTTCAACACTGCTTACATTTATGATCCACAATCTAATAACTTTTTTCTCGAATGTTCAAACTCATTTTCTGCAAAGCAGCACAGTAATACCTTGCTACAAATCAGCTAAGAAAGCCACAAACTTGATTTAGATTTCAATCTTTGGTCGGAGTATATTTAAATTGCGCGCACATGTGCCCCAACAAGTTAAATCATGTGCTGAAACTCCTCTTGTATGTTTATTTGTGTTTATCTGTCCTAAATGACAGAATGAACAAGTTCAAACTTGTAAGCACCATGTGCGTACGGTCGATTCATTTCATATGATCATGTGTGCCACTGCACACACTGTCCACCTTTGGCGTCCCCATCCTGGAACTGCAATCGCAAAAACGCAGGAGACCGACCGACTGTTATCGCTTACATCACTTTGTGAAGATTGGTACCTAAAATGGAGAAAAAACATGAAGGAAACATGGAAAACACTCAGAAGAAGGGCTGCCTATTCCTAAAATCCAGGATGAGGACGCCAAAGGTGGAGAGCGTGTGCAGTGACACACATGATCATTTGAAATGAATTGACTATAGCGTTCTCGGGTTTTTCATCCAAGACTGGCGACAAAGTACAGCGCTTACTTAGGGCTAAAATATACAATTAATTGCAGTGGAACTACAATCAGCTTAAAAGTTGCACTGTTTCGCTGCGATTTGTTCCAGACCGAGAATCTCCACTCCGGCTAGTTTCTCAACTTTGACTACACGATCCTCATTATTTTTCAAAGATTTGCATCATCGTCTCTTATTTACAATAGCGTACATTTTCAGCACATTCACATCTCTTTCCTCTTCCTCTTTCTATTAGATTTTCGTGGTCAGTCTATACATACCGTAACACCGTTATCAATTCGAAATTACCGCCATAATTTGAGTCACCGAGCGATGCCGTGGGTACGGCGGCAGGGCAACCGCGCGCGGCGCGATGGCTGTGCGAGGCCCGCAAGGCCGTGGCCACGCCCCGCCGCCGAGCAGCCAATCGCCGACGGCGGAAGCCACGCAGCGGCCACGCCCACGGTGAAGCTAGCCGACAGTCTGCTTAATGAGCTGCGATTTGTTAAGTGTGCGCCTATGACGTCATCGGAGTTTGCTGGTGGGCCTGCGCAAGGTCTGAACGGCCTCGGCGCTTTCTACTACGACACACATACGGCACAATCCGCACCGACAGCATATTTTCAACAGCAATCGGCTGGTTCCGCCGTTGGACCCACGCAAAGTTTTGCCAATCCATCAGCGGCTAATACTCAGGATCCGGTGAGTTTTTGTCATTTTTTACCCTTTTTCACTCTTTGCAACCCTTCTCGCCATCTTTTCACCTCATCCTCATTCCCCTCTCATAATTTCCTCTTCTCCGATGGGCAGTAACCTTGTATAATCCATACGATCCCTTACTCTTCGCTTTCCTCGTCAAAAATCCTACCCTTTTTCCCGAAATTTTTGTCCAACTACAACACGAATCACTTTCAATCACACCTCTTGTGTATGTGTTGTAATGACGAAAGACACCAAGCAGCTGCATCTAGTTCCAATCAATCGAAAACACCTAACATCGTTTATTCTCCCAGCGTGGCTCGTTAATCAAAATGTAAAAGATTGCGCTAGCGACATAGTCGTGAAATTTTGATGGGAGAAACGTGTGAAAAAAGGCGGTTTTTGGAGATTTTACAGCTTTTGGGAAATTTACAAGTCATACTTTGAGAATTTTGTAATTTTTGTAGTAATGGATGTATCCAGAGCAAAGTGCAGATAGTATCTTACCAAGGCAAAAGTGGAGTCCAAACATAAGCTTTACTGTTACCACTGTATTTTGAATTGGGAGCAGCATAGCATGGCAATGCAGCATCACAAGTTTTTTGAAATTTCGAAAATTTATCAATTTTGAAAAAATGGTAACAATGCCTTTCTCCTTACCAAAACAAATAACTCCCAAATGTGGTCCCGTTACCTCCAAAAACCCCAGCACAAACGGAAAGATGTGCTTTCTCTGCACATGATTCATCTCTTCTCCAAATTCATGCATCGATTTCGTCTTGGCTGTTTTTCTCGCTGCCAAAAGAAAAATTTTGGCGATTCTGAAAACTTATCTTGGAGAGAATCTTTATTTCTGCAAAATTATCCTTTGATTTTTGAAGAAAATTTGATGCAAAGGAGTAAAGAGCAAAATTTGCTTTGCATGTTTGTAATTTTGGGTTTACGAGCAGTAAAAACCTTCAATGTTGTTTCTGTATGCCTTGGCTCAATTACCAATTTGCAGAAAATCAATAATCGATTAAAACGGGTGTTTGAACGCTTCCATAGCCCTGTTTTCCGTCTCCTCCTCCGTGAACCCCCTTCCACCGCCGCCCAACACCCTTCCCATCTGCCAATTTTTCGTTTTTATGCACTGAACAATGCCCAAATCGAATAAATGAACAGTAGATGGCCAGATTGTGCGAGACGTATGATATACGACCGTCGACGGACGGACGGACCGGGAGCAGCGCCGCCGCTGCGGCAGCGGTCGTCGTCCGGTCTCGCGTCGACGAAGACGACGATCAGATGGCCGGGCAGCGCGCAGCAAGCGTATTAATCACCGGGCCGCGCTGCTCCTAGATTTACGACTCTTCCACCACTTTCACCGCCACCCCAACCGACTAACATCACACAACGGTGACTCTGCATGAGAACGCATGTTTTACATGTGTTTTCGCACATTTTCGCTGCGTTTTGCTGCGATTTACCTGCGCTTTTAGATCAATCGCGGCGACTCAGTGACTAATCGCTGCGACTTTTATTGTCTTTCTCTTTTGCTTGCATTTGTGCAGAATCCAACCCTGAATTTTCAATCACATCCGTTCTCACTGCAGTAAAAAAGATGTAAGCCCACTTTCTAAAAATTTAACTATGGGATTGCAAATTTTGATCCGTTATTTATCCCATCATATTTTTTTTGTATGTGACTGAATAATGTAAACAAGGAGTAGACAAGAACACCAATAAGACTTCAATGTAAGATACCGAACCCCTGAGCATGAAAAATCTAGCATTTTCAAACATTCTCAAAGGCAAATTTCAAGAACGCTTTGCGTAAGCATGACTGACACGTCAGGACTTGTGCGTCAAACTTTTTTGTGTTATTTACTTGATAAAATGAAAGAAAAAGCAAGTTTGAACGTGTTGAAAGCTATTATATATACAGACGTGAAACCTTTCTTTGTCATTTATTGATTGATTCATACGTTTTCACGACCACTCATTCTCTTAGTTAATCTTTACTTCTTTGAGCGTTTAATTGATCAACTGATTCAGACTTTTTCCCTACCTTCTACTTCTTTCAATTCTCTTCCATTGTTCCTTCCTATATCAGAACTGTCTCAACAGTGATTCAATCTTCTGTGTTTCATCCACGCCTTTCGTGCCCTCCTCGTTGCTTAATTCATTCCCTCACTCTTTTCTTTTTTCCCGTTTTCATTCCCTAATCATCTGCTTATTGATTCCTTTATTGTTGATTCATCTAAATTCAACCGCATTTGATTCCATTTCACTACTCATTTGCTAAAGTTATTCCTGGTTATTTGGCCATGTCCTCACTTTTAAAATTGCTTTGTGTATTTTTACCCTCACCCCCCCCCCCCTTCCACCTTTTTTGCCTTTCCCTAAACGGATTCTTGTTCATTTAGAGCCTTTGCTATCCACAACAATCGGTCGATTGGACGACGTCAAACAACAAAGACGACAAAGATGAGAAAAAAGACGGTGACGAAGAGAAACCCGGTGTTGCAGCTGTATATCCATGGATGACCCGGGTGCATTCAAGCTCCGGTGAAGGTTATTCTATCGCTTCGCATTAGTAAACCTCAATTTTCATCCCTTCCCCCTTCCCATTATTTTTTATCGAAAAAATCGAAATGTTAGATGTTTACAAACTTCAAACTAAATCACCAAAAGCACAGCGAAGTAGAAAACTGACATTGATTTTTTCAGCGCTTTTTGTGCATTTACGGACTTGTAAGATCTCACAACTTGTAAATCATTACTACTCTGAAGTTTTGCTCACACGAATATCTGGTTATTTTCTTCACCAAAAAATCTTCTTGCGCTACCGTATCCCCTCCCCTGCAAAAATTCGATACAACGCGCCTCGTCTGCCTTCTTGTCAACTAACGCCAAGATTCGAAACTTAGATAAAATTCCCGGCATCGATTTTTCCTCCAAATTAGGAATTTTTGTCGCATTATTGAGCATTCCCTATATTCAACTGTAGAATCAGAAATTTATTACACATCTGCTCCCCTATTTAGCCTACAGTAATCTGTCCAACATTTGTCCTTTCGCTTTCTTTTGCCGACGCATTGAGTGTAATCAATCAAGGCGGCACGCAAAACTTCAGCGTGTGTCGAATGATTGCTGGGTTTCTTTCGACGTTTATCTGCACTGGAATGTGATAAACCTTAAAATTTCTGTCACTTAAAAAATTTCCATCGATTTTCATGAATATCGATTTTTGAGGAGGCGATGAGAACGTCTGGAATCTGAATTGTGACTTGGTCATCTGGCCAATTTGGTAATTTCTGTCTTGATCTGGATTACTGTAGCTCCTACAACTCAGCATTTCACCTTCTGGTCCATCTAGCTCTCATTACCGTAATCCCAGTGAAGGTCGTAAACCGGCTTCTTGCGATGTTATCGTTTCTCAAACGAGTTGGCTAGACGGAATTTATCGAATCAGTGGTGCGAAGATTTTCATAAAAGCGCTTTTGGAGGCAAGAAAACAAAAGCGTTGATTGGCATGTTGTAGTAAAAAATTTTTTGGACCTGAGTTGACCAACGACATTCATAGCTGGAAAAATAAAGGCAAGCACTGTTTCCCCAGCCACAGTAAACCCCTTCCTTGTATAGGGGACTAACCCAGCTCAATTACTGCCCAACGATGTTTCCTTCCGCAGTCAAAGCCCACGCGGAGCCGCAGCTCCGGCCATATTCGCGCGGCTACCGTATCCGTCGCGTGCCGAACGGCAATCCACACGCATTTCTCTGGCCGCGGCTCGGCTAATCGTCGATTTATGTGTTGACGCGAATGTGTGAGAGCGCACAACACCCGACGTCAAGACGCGTTGAACATAGCCCATTAGTCGTTTTAATGGGGTACTTTGATTGCGACCTTTAATATACTACGCGTCGGATCGGAGGTGTGAACGGCGTAAATTAGAGGGTGTTTTTACGCGCACGCGAATGTTGCGATGCAATAAAAAAATCGCATGCACTTACATTTTGAGCAAGATTCATGAAAATGTGGAAAGGACTAGATTGTTTCTGTACTTGGAATTTCTACCTGAAATTCGAATTGTAGAGCTTAAAAAACGGAGAAAATATGTAATTTTTTGGGTATTGGCTCCGGAAGTTTTTTCAGAGAAATTTTTGAAAAAGGCTTATTTTCCTGCTTATTTACCACGAGATAAACAAAAACGAGTTTCAAAAAATTTAGAAGAGATCTGGTTGAAATGTAAGGGAAGATTTCTGGTTGGTGGAGTCGTAACAATTCTATGAATATCATGTAATCAGTGTTTTTTTTCGAAGTTTTTTTTTTCAAAATTGAGATTCTTAAATTGGTTAGAGGAGATAAGAAAAGAGAAAGAAGATTGGAGATCATCAAAGATAATGATTATGCAAGATGATTTTTAAGTCAAAGATAATCATTGTGAATTCGTTATCATTTTTTATCACTCAAGAAAACATGAGCTAGATTTGAGCTACTGTGCCTTTTCCTTACAAAGAGGTATAAGAAGAGCAAAAGATGATTTTCTATATGAATTTGCTACCTATTTTTTACCTTCCAAATTTTTCTATCAGTTACATCTCTCATAAGAATAGCAGTTTCCATGATTGTATCGTACCGTAATTTTCAATCATAATCATGAATTTTTCAAGAAATTCTGCTCTTGGATTTCTTTTCACAATCCCATAAGGAAAGGCTCTGCAAAATCTTTGCGATCTTGTTTGCGCTGGTAAGCTTGTGTCTGAGTTATTCAACCCCTCTCCTTCTTTGTTCCAACTATTATTTTCGCCCTACCAACCCAAGACCAGCTTACTGTAACGAGAAGAGATGCCCCGCTGATAAGCTGCTGCTGGGTGCGCGTCATACCTGCTCTGGCCTGGTCGAAAGCATAACGCGCACGTTGTAATGATGCTCTGAATCTGTCACAACACAGCCCCAAGGTGATCAATCTCGGCTCCTTTGAGGTAGAAGCACCGAGTCGAGTCAGTGTTTAGGCACAGAGACTTTTCCTGATACACACACACAGACCACAAGCAGCCCGGTAATGGATGGTCGATGTCAAATGCCACTGGCATTTTTCGCCCACTTTGCCCGATGATTGAGAGGGTTCGCGTTTTTCCGACGCAGATTTCACGAATAGAAAAGCGCGATTGGCGCTGTGGGAGGCAGATTGTGGGGCAAAACATCGTGTAGAACAAGGATTTTATGTAAGTCAATGATGGTTTTAAACTTGTGCAGAATTTACTAGACATCCATGACCACCCGAGCGCAAAAAAGTCAAACAAATGGAACCGCGTTAGCGACGCCATAAATAGATAGTTCATTTTTCAGTACCTACTACTCCTTCCATTTCTCACTACCATTTTTGAGCAAGTGACGATCAAAGTCAAATAAGTTTCTTTGTAATCATTATGGGGCGCAAATGTCTCATGGATACTAGAAGAAATATACTACGATAACTATCACAAGTATTCTGTGCAAGATGCCCTCTAATTCAAACATAAGTGCTGCTTGCGCTGAACACTCACATTTGGTGAGACATGGAACCTAATTCAGCCCATCAAGCATAATCTTAGAGTTTTCTTCATGCATACCATTCAGGAGTGATAGAAACCCACCCTCTGCATGTTCTTGGTATGTGTGGTCCTCAGTTTTATTTGAGACCCTAGCTGGAAATTTCAGAAGACTAGTCGTAAACAAAAGTAGAATCACTAGCGAGACAAGTGATTGAATTAGATAGAAATTATGAATTTCGTAGCAGTTGTCGTGCGTCAGAATTCTCCAAGCTATAGTTGTCAGTTTTTGAATGTGGCTGGAAAACACATTTTGCTTAGGAGTAGAGGTTACCGATTCGCACCGACGTTTTTCGAGATGAAGATTCACATCTTGAAATAAGTCTCAAATGATGATTTGTATGTTACCTTTTACACCCGCACAATGATTTTTTTGAAGAGATTAAGCTTCGAATGTCCAAAATAATCCAGACTAAGTTTTGCTAATGGAATTAGTATCAAGCATTCTAGAAATTATTAGACATAAAACAAACATAAGTATCTGCAAGTTTTTTGTACTGCCTTCTGTTGAGCTACATTCGTGATTTTGTAGGAATTTAAAGTTTCCATGACATGCTTTTTCTTCTTACTAAAAAGCAAGGTTTCTGTCGTTTCATTCTTGCGATGGATTGCATGAAAGATTTCAAAGTCCTCACATTTGCCCATAAAGTCTTACTAAAAAAGCAAGCTTACAATTAAGCTTAGAAAAGCACAGTGAACTTTGATTGGACCATTGCTAATGCATTAACTAGCAATTTAAGAGACTTTATTGGTATTCATCTCTCTCTAGTTTCCCAAAGCGTTCGAATTCTTTCTTTCCTTGTTATCAAAATATTGAAAAATTTAGCAGTTTCTAACAAACCCTTGCTCTGGTTTCAAAATTGTGTTTGTGACGTTTTTAGGCGAATAGACCGAAAGATCAATACATCACACCGTCTCCTTGGGTGTCCTTTCGCTGCACTCCGGCTTTAGGAGAATTTCGGAATCAAAAAGCGATGCAACGCCGAGTTGATTGATCGTCGTTGAGCCCTTTAGCATTTCTCAATTGTCGTTCTCTTCTCACATTCGACGATCTTAGTGCTTTGTGGACACTTGTGCCGCTTAATACTAAGTTTACAGTAATCAGTAGACTCGTCACGCCATTGTCACAACATCGTCGACGGGCGAATGGGTCGGGACCTTTGCTACAAAGGTCCCGACATCGCTGCGCGACCTCGGCCTCCGCGTGTACAGTTGTAAATCTTGGCTCGCCTAATGATGGATGAGTGATTGTGATGATGATGATGATGGTGATGGTAATGGTGAACAAACTGGCAACAGGGTAAAAATAACCCTCTCTCGCTCTCCCCCCCCCCCCCCCCGCTTGCCCATTTTGCTACATTTAGCCAGATGTTAGCGTAAAAGGGCTAGCCTAAGCACACGATTAATACATCAACATCGCCCCGGTAGCGATTTATTCTGCTGTCAGAAAATCCATTAATTCTCGTTTTTGCTGACGTATTATTACCGCTTGCCCATTTCTCATATGTCTACAACCCAACATCGAATGCGCTATGTTCGAGGGGGAAAAGTAAAATGTTGGGGCAACACGAGGTTATGATAAGATGACGAATTCTTTTCATGTATGGAAAACAGGTTTTCGATCATCATCGCACGTTGGCTCAGCAAAACTTTCACAAAATGTTAGGGTAACTAATTGGTGATGATGACCTTTACTTTGTACTTTGTAAGATGCAAAAGTGAAGTTATTGAATGAAGTTATTGAATGTTTTCGAAACCACAAAAAATTGCATACTTGCATTGCCTAATCTATCTTTCCTGTAGTGTTTTTAGGTGAGTTGCTTGCCTCATAAGCTAGGGTTACCAGTTTCAACCGCGTGTTCATTGGGCACATTCCGGCGGGACCCATGACTTCTCAGAAATAGTATATTTGATTCAGTGCAATATCCGATCAGGGATCAAGATCTAAGAATTACAACCTAGATACATATACTAGAAAAGGTGGGAAGAAAGCTATTTCTTGATTCGAGTCGTGAAGTGGAGCGTGTGGTGTGCAATCACACATTCTGATTCACAAGGGACCCAGCTTATGCTACGCTTTTCTATAGAATGGTACACTTTTCTTGTAATACCGTAATCCGGTAGCAGGGAACGGCGGAGTGACGCAATGTATTGATGCCCCGCAAGTTAAAAGCAATCTGCCATATATGTTCATACCGTATGTCTACCGTATCACTGCGGTTATAGCCGCAAATCAATAACGTAAATAGCGCCAAATTCAATGTGAAGAATTTTTATTATGTAGTTTCCAGAACGTATTTGTATATTTTCGAAACCTTTCTAGAAATGACTCAATCTTCCGTTCTTGTTGTCGTTAGCTTGCTTAGTTCTTGCAAAATATCGCAACATTTGGAGCCTAGACGCGTAAATCACGACAGTTTTTCTCTGATGCGAGGAATGGAACCATATGTCCTCGTTCGCACCTCATAAATATCACCTTTTTGTTTTAAGCCGAAAAATCTCTAAAGATGTTGCAAAATATTGCCAGAGCTTGCACATAATTCTTTGACTCAGCATTTTTTGCTCAGGAAATGGACTATTAGTAGGGTTTCGCGACTAAAATGATATCAATTTACTGTGTCAAAGATTTCGAACATCTGTCCGGAACTGTAGCACATTCCCACAGATTTCCAACGATTAATTTGCATGTGTTACGCGTCAATCCATCAACATTGGCGCTGGTAGTGCACGCGCAAGCGCTTTGTGAAGAGGACAGCATCCGAGGCTCGAACGGATGGGCTGGAAAGGCTGGGAATGGACTGGTGGGTGTATGAGGTGGTCTGTATCATCGAAAATATTATGACAGTGTGGCAAGTCTGAGAATCAGTGCTAACTCGGGAGGGTTTAGAAGGGAATATTTTTTCAAGGATAAAGGAATTCTTTCGTCGCTTGTAACACTTAAAATCAAATTAGGATTATATAGTACGCAACATTAAGATGAGAATCGTTCACTCTCCGTCTACCTCTGCTCTGCTGAATGCAAGAAACTACCTTTGGAAGTGTCAGAAACCGGGAGAGTCCACCATGGGCTCTTGTCACAAATTCCATTCTGCCTTGTTCGATAAAGGAGATAAAAGATACAGAATTACTTGCCAGGCAAGCTTAAAATTGGCTCTTTATCAGCTCCTTTTCCTACCCCCCCCCCCTCCCTCCCCCCATCTCCCGCTCTTAATTGGAAGAGCAATTGACGATCCCAGCGGTTTGTGAATGCTTGGAGGTAGAAGAGGGAGAGATCTCTTCCCCTTCCACCTTCACCGAATCTCAGACTTGCTGAATTGGTTAATCTAGTGCGGTTTAGACTCATCACGCATGCCAACTACTTCGCATCATAGTGAAAATATAAAAAATCGATGTGCCCATTCAAAAAAGATGAAATTTTGGGAAACCGCGCGACTCCCGAAGCGAACGCTGTTGCAAATGTAATATTAGATTACTGATTCACTAGTTATAGTGGAAATATAATGTTTTTGTTATTTGCCTTTGCAAAAGAGGTTAGAAAGCTATACAGATTCTTCAAAAAAATCGTTTTTTGTCTCAACGAGAAGCTGTCTATTGCGTTGGTAAATCTTCGGCTGCGCGGGGCTCGCTGCTCGAGCTTTTGATTTACAATGCAAGTCGTATTTCTAGATCAAGTTAGACGATGCGTAAGAGATCTTGACTAGAATTTAGGGGCTCACAAGGAGGGAGGGAAGAAGTAAGACGAAGAGGTCATGTGCGCATGCAAGAGAAGCTATACTTATATTACCAACAGAAATTATGCCTTTACATACTCAAAAAGGTTATCTTAAATCCTGTGAGAAGCTTGAACCAAAGTAACTGATATTTCTCTATTTAGTGTTCACTTTATGCTTTGTTGTTTCAAGATTTTTAGAATTCCCCGGCCCGTGTTTAGTAGCTGCTTCATGCGCATTACCAATTCCTCACAAAACTACCTCTAAATTTTTGACTTTAGGAGGTTCGCGAGGTGAAAAACGGCAACGGACAGCATACACAAGAAATCAGGTCCTGGAACTCGAAAAGGTGACATTTTCCTAAGACATTTTCGCTCCATCCTATCGATTATCGATTGAGTGACTGCTTGTTTTATTGAAAATCGCTCAAATAACGCTTTCTAGGAATTTCATTTCAATAAGTACTTGACGAGGAAAAGACGAATTGAAATTGCACATTCGTTAATGCTCACAGAACGACAGGTGGGTTGTCATATTTTTTATGACGAGAGGACAGAGAAAATCACATTCTTTTTTTTCTACATTATACTTCAATTTCGCACTATGATTCTTCAAAATTTGCAAATTTTTATTTTAGCACAAACATCAGCGCGTAACAGAATTTGAAGCAAATGGGAGGTGTGCGATTCTACTTCAAACTGAATTACTTATTTTCAGGTCAAAATATGGTTCCAAAATAGGCGGATGAAACATAAAAAAGAGAACAAGGTTGGTGCTCATATTTACTACTTCTCCTTCTCCCTACAGTTACAGCAATTCTGGTTTCATTTTATAAATTTTTGTATTGCTGTTCGCGGATTCAGTCTATCCTTCCAAAATGATGAATGTAGCCTATTTGAGAGTCACTACAAAGCTTTGCCGCCCTTCTCAATTTTTTTTCACGAATTTCTCTGCTCGAAAGCATTTCTTATGGAAAATTCTGTCGATTCGATTACTGTCCATCGCTTCGCCATAAATTCGCCATCAAAAATCTGCGCAGCAAAAACTTGTCGCACATATGTTCACGTCGCAACCGATTTCGACCGCAACATGTCACTGAAACAATCCAGTGGCCCCTGCTCCTCCACCCTCTCCCAACAAACACGTGTTGGCTTTAAGAGGAGGGTACGGGGAAAAGTAGCGTTTGAGATTGAATTACATAATCGTGAATGTCAAAAATTATAATGATATACAAAGATCTAGAAAAACCGGGAAATAACAGAAAACTTAGCATTTTGCATTACGATAAAAAAGACTTTATGAATGGTTGTTTTTATGGTATATGCTTTGTTATCTAAAGTCTTCGTAAAGGAAGAAAGATTGGAGATTCTCTCCATTGCAAATATCTAAGTTGAATCCTGCTCTATAGAAGGGTCAAAATCGGCAGAAGACTTCAAAGCGAAAGAGTTATTAACTGTCAAATAGTGTGCACATTTCTTAGGATGCCCAGCATAACAAGACACTGTAACATCTTTCTAGTGAGGGTCTCCTGACTCACTCTAAGGAAAATGTGTAGCGCCTTCATGATACTTTATGATACGCCTTTATGATGTCAGTCCTATTGGTCTGAAGTAGGGCTCCTTGCAAGCTTAAAATAGCCTGCAGCTCGTGATTCGTAACTGAGCATTCTAAATATTTGTAACTTCTGGAATGAATTTTCATTGACTTCGTGAACACTGTGTTTTAATAAATTATCTACATTCAAAGTACACTCAGTTTTTTCGCTGCAACAATCCGGGATAGGAGGAGATGTAATCAGTGCGAAAATTCTCAGAAGCCCTTATTTTAATAGAGCTAGCGTTTGATGAAAAATTAATTCTTTGATAGCATCGGTGCATATTTTTTCATCACCTAACCCTCTGCCCTCCACTTTCCTTATGACAAGAATCTAGTGCGATGATACCTTCATTGATGTGATCCTTTATTTCCTACACAAAGAGAAAATTTTCAACAATCTTTTCTATGCTTAGATAGTTAAAGATAATCTCCTACTTTATTTTGCCGAAAAGACGATGTCATCGAAAACCAACGGATTGAAAGAATCGTTGACTTTGTTTCATTCCTCTACAGATATATAGAATGCGCGCTACTTTTTGCCCACAACTTTTCAAAAAAATGTTTTACACAGGGATAACATAAACAACTTAACTTGTACCGAATGCATGATGTTGATATCTTTTTCCAGGACAAGCCTCTAACACCGCAAATGATGCCGTTTCCAACAGGACCACTGCCGTTTGCCCATCTCGGTTTTCCGCGAAATTTTCTTCTATCCAATCAGTTCTGATTTCGCACTAGGTCATAATACCTTTCAATATTGAATGCTAATATTTGCCATAGGACTTAGCTCGTCCATGGCGAATGCTTGGCCTTGTCTATTCTATTTGCCCATTTTGAGCCATCAAATGCTTCTGTGAATCTTGTATTACGCCCCCCTCCCCCTCCGTCTCAGATTAGCTGATTGTCATCGTTTAGGCTTAAGATCGCAGTTTTTTAGTTGCGACACGTGTACTCGCTTTTATTTTGTACTATTGTCATTCCATTGTGCTTATACAGAAAGCTTTAAGTTTTTATTCATTGTAGATTTACGATTTTTATTCATTTTCATTTTTTTCCCATTCTATCCCATTTCTCATTTCATGTGTTCTTAGCCACCCACAGGGTTTGATGTGAAACAAGGTGTATTTTCCTCACTGAACAAGGTAATTTCTCTCTTGCCCCGTCGATACAAGGTATTCTCCTTCTAATCAATTTCTATACTTATAACACAGGGTATGTGCTTCCCGAAACTCGTGTGTGCAACTCGTGTTCCTTTACCTACAAGGTATATTTCCCTATTTCTCTGTTTTACATACTCGTGATTATCGATTTTTCTTCATTGACTGAATTGTGTACTGTAAAAAGACTCTGTGTGTATACTGTAACACTGCAAATTCTGCAGTTGCGGCTACCCTCGTGAAATTTTCGATTAGGAGCATTTTTGTCCACATTTACTGTTGCCAATCCGCTATTTTCACTATGTCTGTCCCTGTCCGCACGCCATCCTTGCCACACCGATTTTCTCTCTCATTCATCACATTTCAGTTTTGTTTATGTGATTGTTCCCCATGTCATTTGCCAGTGTAAGAAAGAATAAATATGAAGATTTTGATAGTCAGGTTGAAAAAGGGTCGATGTGACAGGGAGTATGAGAATGTGCATCAAATTTGACTAAAGCTGAAGCATCAACCCCAGGATGAAAAATTCTCCACCATTGGTACTGTAGACCTCCTCGAATTGATCTGATCTTCAATTTGACTGTTGGAATGAGTTTATGAATAGGACGATAAAAAAACAATTGGGGGTCTCTTAAGAAGTTTCATTCTGCCTAACAAGCTACAAATAACTCAAAAATCTTTTTCGTCTGTAATTACTCTAAATGCTGCTTACCAAATAAAGACTAGCTTAGATATGTTTATCTTTCACACTGAATACTAGAATGTCAAATTAGGTTTCTAACAAGAATGAGGGAGTTTATGCTGTGACGAGTAAAATTATCCAAAACAAATCTAATCATTTTGATGCCTTTCTAGGTAACCAAAGCTTGTTGCCTAGAAATAAAATAATCGTCTGAAGTTCAACCCTTTAAAGGTAAGTGAAAAACATAATAAGTCATCTTATTTCATCCAGATTCTGCAATGATGATTTCAAAAATGCGAGTATAAAAAAATTCGAGGAATGTCGATTTGACTAGAATATGTTTTGAGTTCCCACAGTTAATTAAATTTCAACAAACTTTTACCATGATCTAGGTCCGATTTGTGAGTTCTTGGAAAGTCTACGTGGAACTGTGCTTCTTCTTGTTACTCAGTGAGTGTATTCTCCCTAAGGATTAGTATGGCTAGCATCAACAAAAGGTTCTTTTGCTCGTTTTCAGGTTCTTGGAAAATGACAAAAACTTATGTAAAATGTAATCATGAGATTCTTGTTTACTCATTCTTCGATAAATAGGGACACTACCCAAACCATTGTAGAATGTGGATGATTTTGGGAAGAAATACTGACTACAATCGAAATTTGACGCTGGGTTCGTGATTTTAGACTGAAGCATACATGGATTTTGCAGCTTACCTCAGAGAACAGTGAAACATGTTTCGAAGGCAAGAATTTATAAGGTAGAGCTTCCTTTCTCAGTCCTCATTCACATCACGCCCATTGATAACACTCTTTCACTTCATTCTAAAATCTTACTGTTGTTCATTTGAGAAAAGATATAAGAATACAAAAAGCCCTTTTCCCTGTTTCTCGCTACCAGTATGGAATTCTGAGTGTGGGTTGACGAAGAAATATGACTTACCTATGTTTTCTATCAACGAGGCGTTGCCTATTCGGAAGACTCGCATGTCACATATGTTCTCTTTTTCATTGCTCAATGGAACAGTGTTCGAGCATGCTCTCCATAAATCATTAAAGAAGTCTTACTGTAGCATACTGTATCATCCATCATCAAAGACGTTTCAAATTTTTTCCGTGATTGAAATACGGTTCCAAGACAAGACTCCTTGGTATATCTCTCAGGTAAGAAATCAAATGGTTCAAAGAAAAAAGAATTTTTGAATTTTGGCCATAGTAATATGTAGCCGATGATCTTCCCATGCGAGGTAAATCAGCACTATCCACTTAATTGTTGTTGTACCTTTTTTGTAAGAAGGGAATGGCTTGTCGGTGGGTGCATGCTGAATTTTTTGGCTGAAATTTTAAGGGCCTAGAAGTCTATTCATGACCGTCTTCATAAGCGGCCCCTATTTAAAGTGATTCACAGTCTCCTTTATTTTGTCAGTTCCCTTCCCCCCACCGCCTTCTCCATTTTCTCCTCTTCCTCCTCGACAAATCTCCACATTGCTCAGGGAAGTGCTTTGAATCTTGGAAAATTGGTTACGGATGCTGAAGCACTGCGTTTCCATAGACAAAGCGTGGCTAACATCGTGAACAGTTGGAACTAAAATATTTTACCAAATGATCAAAGGATTAGCAGCATTCTCTTACAAGAAGCGTATTAGGCCTCGGTCAAGTCTTACTTTCAGCGAGAGTAACAGCCGTTTAACGTATCGAACGTTTTTGTGTAGTTTTGCATGCAAGAATGTACTACCGGCCACTGAAAGTCACCAAGCACGAGGATTTTGAATCGTTAAAGAACACCGAAAAATTTTAAAACTTTTTATGCACTTTTTTCCATATGAATAATCCAATATCGATTACCATCATATCATTTGTTGACTATAAATATGATAGATTTCTTTTGAAAGTAATTTTGTGTGCTATGTAATTTCTATTTTCCATCATACCAGTCAAGAAAACTGTAGTATTCGTAGCATCTCATTAGGAGAAAGTTCAGGTAACCTTGAGGTAACCGAAAATTCTGTTAGGTATCAAAATAAAAGCTGTCCTCCCGAAAAGCGTAGATCGTGCTATTTTGAGAGCCATGATGATAATTTGATTAGTCTGTTCATACGCGAATGTATTTACATGCAGGTCAGAAGTAGTGAAGAGCTAAAGAATCGAAACTTCAATGTCAAACTAAAGAAACAGGAACCAGTTACAATCAGACCGTCATTCTGAGATTCGAAATTTTTGCCATTTCCTTTACTGCAGTACTCTTCCTAAGATCTTTCCAATTTATCTACTCCACTAAAAGAGAAAACGAACTGCTAGAAAACTTCCAGATACAATATTACAAACAAGGCTACATATTTGACCGAGTGAAGGACGCCTGCGCGATGGCGGCGATCGTAAATTATACAGTAGCGATTTGTAGATATGTTAGCTGCATTTCTTGACGGAAGCACGATATATTACGTAATCTGAGTGGATTGTAGAAAGATGAGAGAAGTTATAGCAGACGAGATAAGAAAGTGAGACGAATTGAAAGAAGTACCGTAATCAAAAGTGCAAACATTACCGCAACTTACTTAAAAAGCGCATAATATGGCTTAAACTTCTCATAAACCTCACTAAATGCACTAATTCGCAGATTTTCGTACCCAAGCAGCCACATGGGGGACAGGTTGCTCGGCCGACGCGAAATCGATTACGGTAATTGGCCGCCGACCAATCACCGCAGTGGGAGTGCCCCGGCGGGCTAATCGACGCGCGACATGGCAGGTCGTGGACGGTGAGCTTTTGATAGGGATTTGGGGAAGTATGTGTGGCAGAAGTAGTTTCTCATTACAAGCGACCTTATGAGGGTTTCTTCTCCCTAATCGGTATGTGGTAATGAGGTCTGCAAGATAAGAAAGCTAGACAAGTTGTATAGAAAAGCTGGTTGCGGAAGTATCACCAGATGTTCATATCATGTTGCCATTTTTGACCAATCAATCTTGGAAAATTTGATTTTTGCTTATGAAAAAGCCTATACTGACAAGAATTTCTGAGCAAGGTAATGCAAGTTACTTGCCAAAATCCTCGCTCCAAAACCCTCGATCACATTTAAAACGCCTAGTCCGCCAATTACAGATCACTTGCTAAGTCAAGATTCTCCATATTTTTTCCAGAACGAATGCTGAATTCGAAACGGAAGCACAAAACAATAAATCGACAGAACGAGTGACACGGCGACGGCGACCAGCCGCCGTACGCTCCGCTCCAGTTTGTGTGATTTATACCAAGCTATTGTCGTCGCGGAAAATAACATATGGCCCCATTCAAAATGTAGCGATTATTGTCCCCGAAAATGCTTGGAATACTTTCATATTCTGACTGGGGTTTGAGCTGTGAAATTCTCAGAGATAGATTGACGATTGGGGGATGTGGAAAAGATGGGGGTGCTTCAGAAAAAACACTAGATATTGGACACTGTGCTGGAGATAATTTGCCTTTTTCGGCTGGATTTTGCCATACAAACTAACCTGATATTGGAATTCATAAAGGATGGTTCCCTGACCAATAAAATCTCTTGGCATCAATTGGCTAAGTTAAACTCAAGAATTCATTTTTTGGAAACAAAAATCTTCAACCATCGGACAACGAAAAAGTTCCAAAATATATGAAATTCTTAGTTTTCCTTGCCAATAGTCGATGAATCAGTGCCAAATCAGGGATAAACACGACTTCAAAGATTCAGGATGGTTCCAAGAGTCAATTGAAAAACCGGCAATAATTCTTTACTGAGCTTCAATGTCAAGTTTTTTAGTATTATCCCTTGACTTTCACAAAAGCGTTATGGAAACCAACTAGAACGAAACATTTCCTCTTTTGTGAGCTCAAAATTTGTTTATGCTAGAAAAAGTGGTTCTACCAAGTAACATTTGTAGCTTTCTCTAATTCGTGATAGACTCCCACCAAGAAGAATTCGGCAGTAATCTCTTTTCAACCAATTCATCATATCGCGCACAGGCTTTGTCAAAAATTTTCCCTTCCTTTTTTGCTTTGCAAACAGTAACGATTTTTACTTCGTATCATTTGTCACATGGTGTCAAAAAGACGAAATGCAAACACATTTTTCGAGATGCCTTATCAATCATGAAATGCTGTGTTCGTGCTATTCAAGAATGTGGCAAAATTCCAGTTGAGGGAGTAAATATAAAAACAACAATCCAAACAAGTTTTTGCAATCTTAAAAATTGTGGTCTACTTAGAAGCCTCAAAGAACGACTCGCTCGAGGACTGCTATTGTTTTCTACTAATTTGCAAGGAGTAAAAAATTTTTGAAAAGAGATTTGGTCACATGAAGCGAAAATGCAAGTTTTAATTTCATCGCTTTTCTAACGGCTACCATCTCCTCGTTGGCCGAGATACTGTAAAGCTGCAAAAGAAAAGAATTCGAATGGCTGAAGATGTTCTGCTTTTTGTGTGGCAATAAATTTTCTCCACGAGAAGCTCAGCTCGGCGTCGTTATCGTTGCTAGCGATCAAAACTGCCCCCATAGATCTTTCTGGAAACATTAAACTCCTGGAAGGCGAAAAAGAGGCCGAGTCGCGTGGCGAACATGGGAATCGCCAGCCATAAATCGCTGACGGCGAGCGGCTGGCGCGCATGTAGCCGAGCAGCCGCCGGCGCACATCCGCGTACCATAGCCACTGATTTATTAAGAACATTTGTCGATACTACACGATTTATGGCGTTTCGATCCACACTCGGAGACGAGCCAGTGTTCAATATATGCAGGAAAATGCAAAAGCCACGGGGAGCAAGAGAAACAGAGTTGGGAGGGGGGGGGGGGCTGAGGAGAGCAAAAGGCGAGGTGGAAAAAGACGGAATTACGAAGTTACGAATGTGCTGATTATATCATAGTAAAAATTGTAATCTAGCAGCAGAAATCCGGAAAATTAGTTCAATAACAGCTCACAAAGAGTTTTTACAGCTTATAAAAGAATTTTCTACTAGTAGTTTGACTCATATACTAATTTCTTTTTGGGTAAATCTCGACAGGACTTGAGGCTTAAGTTATTTAGCTATAATTTTTAGGCTAGTTTTAGTTTCCACTGCTCTCTTACTATATGACACAGACGACTTTGAGCTTTTTTTGAGGATAAACAAGTATGTAGCGCAAATAGGTTAGACGCTACGCCCTAACTGAAAATGAAGTTTTTTTACTTAAAATGAAGTTTTTGAAAATCTAAGAAATTTTCATGATGGTAAGGGTTGGGGGTCCGAAGTAGGGGTAAAGGTTCTGAGTTTCTGCCGTTACGTACAATTGCTCAAAAATTTTTTGTTAGCCATGAAAGGTTTTTTTTAGCCATAGAAGACAGTTTTGTTCTATTGCTAAATTTCAAAAAAACTCAGTTCTTCAAAATTCTAAATTCTGTTTCGTAATGTGGTTGGTGTACAGATGAGCAATTTGGTTGATAAACACAAACAAGTTTCCTCTACTTAGCAAATTCGACAAGAATTGTGATCTGCTTTTGAAATCGAAAATACGAGGTTTTTTCAAATTTGCGCCGCATGAGATTATTCGGGTACCTTACTTTCTTGCGCCTATTCTTCCTCAAAGCGCTTCTATCTAAAGTGCTACAAAGTGTACCTACTGATTTTCACTGAAACGCGCTTTCCGGGAGTACTACATGTGACAAAAAATTTGTGTGAAAGTTCAATGAGACGCCAAAACAATATATTATTGATTAGCCAACCTGAACGAAGGTAATTTTTCGAGTCCATAAAACTTAACCTAAACCCGCTACCCCTCCTTACCTTTCGGCTTGCGTCTAGAATCCCTAGAATTACTTGGTCGCTGATGGGTTAGAAGTTTACGTTTAGAAGTTTAAGTTTAAGTTTAGTTTATCTGATAAGCCTCAAAAATCAGTTCTGTTCGAAAAAGCTGAGAGAAGCGGTTTTTCGCAAAAACTCCGCAGAAACATTACCTTCCTTCTCCCTTCCAGATTATAGCATACTGTTGCTCTAATGAATACAGGGTAAACTTTGTGTAGTAATATTGACAATTTATATTCTGGCTGCATAACGTTTCTTACGAAAACTTCAATAATGCACGACGATACGAATTGAAGATCTCCGGCTGATAGTTATTAGGCTGACGCTCCTCAAAGTGAACAAAATGTAAACGGGGTGCAAAATCAAAATGCCTTCTCCAGCCAGAAGTAACATTGACGTTGGCAATACCGTAACCGGCGCTTATCATTCTCGACAATCTCTCTCCTATCGTCTCTGTCGACGATACAGCCTCGAGTGGCTCCATTGTTGACGACTATCGATCAAATTGTTCATTACACATATGAAATGTGTATGTAACTATATCGCATGGAAGATAGTTAAACTCAACTCTGGGGACCCGTCAAAATGATTTTGGTTACATAAGTGTAGCGCAAGAGTTGGAGGTATTTATGATATTTGCTACAGATTGGTCGTTGTCAAAAAAAAACTACCCCATGCCTTTCTTCAGTTAACGCTTCGAAAAAAAAATAGAGATAGGCTAGCCCACATGCAGGTTTTTTTGTTTCCGATGATAAAATTGTCTTGATGAACAGCCAATTTGCAGATGGAAAATATCTCATAATTCAAATGTGTTTTTTTAAACAGCGTTCTAATTGAACGTTATATTTTGCTTGCCAGCACATTTGAAAAATTGACTCAATCTGTTTCAAGAGTCCGTATCTGGCTTACTTTCGCTTTGTCATAAGTAATGCGCCCTCCCCCTCCCCTCGAGGGCTTTATTAATGCTTTTAATTTAAGATGAACTTGAGATCCTCAAAGCAATCCGAAATGCGTTGCTTCCTCGTCGGATATGGTGAAGATGATCTTGTTCATCTAAAAGCCCGCATTCTTTTTTGTCATCAAATTTTTCGAAAAAATGAGCTGGTATAGTTTTCGTGTAGCTTAGTGCGTAAGTATTCAAATGAGTTGCAGAATTTCTTTCTGATCGGTGAAGCGCATAGTCAAATCTTGAACAAAACATGAGGCAAAATCTCCAATCCCTTTATTCTCTTCGGAGGTAAAAAATCGTGCATATAAAACTAAAAAAAGTTCTATTAAATCACTAAAGCAGTGAAAATAACTTGAAGTATTCTAAATATCGATCTCAGAAATGCGCAAAAAATCCGGAATTTTGACATTTTAGCTTCTATTGAATATCAGTTTTTCTAGGTACATAGAGTACTTACATATGCATTAAAGATAATAATTTTTCCGAAAATGCTTCACTTACTAGATACCAGGGCTCGACACAAGGTGGCTAGGTGAAAAGCCAAAAAACGAAGTCCCCTTTAGCGTAGATCATAATCCAAGAAAATCTCTAAAAATTCTCCAAAAAACGAAACGTGACAAAAAAATCGTCGCAATTTTTGTCTCTTTTCGGTCTCAAAAACGAAACCCCCTATGCATTTTGCCCCAAAAACGATATCCAGCTTGCTTACAAGCCACCTGGGCCGAGCCCTGTTAAATAGCTGATCTGCGCGATCCCACTGCAACGCCTAGGATGGATAGCTGATTCTAGATCGACTCATACCTAGTGTAAATATTAGTACAAGCTCACATTACAGTGCTTTTTACACCTGTTCCCATCCAAAGAGTTGACACCTTTTGTTCGCAAAGAAAAAGGCTGGCATCGAAAACGCGTCGTCACGTCGTAAATTAAAGGACGTGCGCGCAGCTCAGATCAGCTGTAAATCGTCTCCGAGACAGATCAATGGCTGCTGATAATCAAAGCGAGAACGAGATTAGTCGACGGTGATGAATTGCTGTACTGAGTTAAAGCCCGCTTGGGAGTGCATGGGGGTACCGGGAGTGGGGACCATTTCGACTGAATTTTTGAGAATTTCAAGTAGTTTTGAGATAGACGTAGAGTTAACCTGCCAATGTCTCCGATAAAACACATGATTACATCCAAAGAATGTTCAGGTAAGTCTTTCCAACATATCAGAAAGCAGAGAACACTAACAAGCTCAGTTTACCGAAACTTCCACATTGCAGTATAGACATTAACACTGAGAATATGCTTTCGTTGAAACTCAAGAAGTATTATAGAGATGGGAGAGATGGTGGAAGGAGAGGGGGGAGGTAAACCTGCACAGGAATGAAACACGAATGAAAGGAAATCTACGCAACATTCGAAGTCATCATTTTCATCCAATAGCACCCTTCCCCCCCCTTCTCGAGAAAGGGTCGCGAAATCTTGAAGTTACTTACATGAGTTACAAAAATTTGCAAACGATTTGTTTGTACTTGTGAATAAAAAATACTCTATAAAATAAAAAATTTAAAATTTGAATTTTTGAAAACTTTAAATAAATTTTAAAAAATTCAATTTAGCCATATAAAATACATTCGCAGGAGCGCGGCTGACGCAAGCCCCCTTATTCAGAAACTCCGCGGTTATGGGATCGCAAAAATCTTGGAAAGCATACCAAACATTTTTCTGGATTGCGCGGCTGACGCCCGCACCTTCCTCACTGTCAGAAGAAAATTTCCGTCCCCCCCCCCCGAACAGAAATTCTGGTTACGCCACTGCTATACCTAAATCGTGCAACTGAATGCTATTTTCTGGCTCACACACCACAATCAGAAAGGAACTTTACTTGTTGTTGTCATGTTGTCGGAAGAAAGCTATCAAAAATATCCTAAAGGGACGATTAAATCCACATTTATTTCCTGAAAAAATATACAGGTTTTAGAAAATGCACTACAAAATGTTTTTATCATCGCTTAACAGCTCTAATGAAAATTTGCATGACATGAGAAATTTAGCATGCGGTTATATCACATACAAGTACATACACATGAAAAAATCTGATGATCTGAGATGAAAATTGAGACCTAAAAACATTTCTGCTCAGAAAAACATTCCAATCAAACATGGAGAATGCTGACTCTCAAACAACACAATAGACGATGAAACAGAAACATCTCAATAGATGCTATGATTTGCAGAGATATCATTCACAATGAAAGCGAGCGATAAAGCAGTAGTAAGTATCAAGAATAAACAGTGATTGATTCTGCTCGATGCAATTTGTGATAAAAAAAAGGGGCGATCTAAGTAGAACATAAGAACAAAGTATGTTTAAAGAAAGAAATCCAATTCATTCTATGGAAAAACCTCCTTCGACCTCATTCAGGACTTCATCACGCTTCCTGGAATGATTTTCTGATTACTGTAGGAGTTTACAGATGGTAAAAATATGGAAGAGAGATTTGATTGTTGACTAAAGTAGACTAACCGTAGCCATTTTGTGCCTTCACAGTTCTGGATCCATTGCAAATTCGAACTTTAAAAAAGTTGCAAGGAAGAGGGAGAAGGGTAAATATAATTTTTTTGTCTCACGATAATGATAAGTTTTTTTATGTCGCATTATGTATCATTTACGAAGCACTGCAACATCCACAATATCCCTACAGTAATCTTCTCTCCAAAACTACTACCGTAACCTTTGGGCGCCGCCACCTTCCTCATAATATGCTACCATATTCCAGAACTTCAACAGGTCATTGTTGTAATCAATAGCGTCTGTGGCCTGAGGGCTGGATTGCTAGGGGGCTTTGAGAGTTTCTAGAGGCCAACTAGCAAATACATAAATCTCTCGTCGAGCGCACCATGTGTCACACGGCGGCAGCCAAAGAAGATTTGCGAGTCTGTGTGGAAAAGAGTGGGATGGAAACAGTGGAACAAGTGGATGGGGGAAAAATCAGAAAAAGAATCAGAAGCTCTAGAATTTACTAAAATGTTTTAGGTTATGCCCTTCGCCTTTTCTGTGGTAACCAGCAAAAATAACACAACAACTACAGTACCCCTACATATACTTTCTAACGCGATATCCTTGGTACCTCTCCAGGTCTGCACCGTATTCCACTCTTGAAATAAATAAAAACTACTATTTCACTATCTGTATCAGCATGGTCTTAGTGACGATATGTGATGCCTGCGATATACACGTCGTAAAGATAATCGCTATGGGCCCCACAGCGGGTCACCATTTGATTTACGCATCGCAACAATAACTAACAACTGTCGCTATTCCTTTTGGGCTTGAGAGAGACAACAAGAAGGTAACTAAGGGCCTCTAGGGGTCAAAAATGAGATGATGTAGATAAAGCCACGATAATGCATTGTCAAAAAAGTAGGTCAAATAATTGAAAAGCTTTTTCATTACAGATCAAAAACAAGAGAGTACTCACCATTTCACCACTTTACCCTCTTCTTCACATCTTAACACCCATTTCGACTTCAACACCGTAACCTCACCAGCTTGTACCTGAGCCCTTGTCTTCGGATGTTTCTCTGTTGTAGCTACAACCAAACTCATGTCAGCTCCTAAAACAAAAAATAAAAAATTTGAATACATTTGTTCAAAAAAAATTTGGGCAAATGTACCCACCCGGGTTGGCAACCACATTAGCTCCAAAAGTCTTCAGAATTTCCATGAGTCGCTTACGTAATCGTTCATCCGTACCATACAGTACACATACAGTTTTTCCACTTAGAGGCAAGTCAGAACGAATCTGCTTGGGATCGACTACGGGTACAGCACCTGCAAAAGATTTTGAAAGGCAAAGTTATTTCTAGTTCCCATACAATCTTGACAGCTCCATGAGAAAAGTTACGTAAGATTAGAATTAAGATATGAGTATTTAATGCGTTTGAGCCTGTGTACACGCATGAAAGCGCGCACAGCCATTGCTCTACCACGGTAAACGATCAAAAATGAACAAATAACGTACAGAAGGTACCGGTACCCTTTGCAAAATCATTATAAACTTTCAATTTCAAATCAAAATTGAGATTTCCAGAATCAGATCCAATTTATTCCAATCGCTGGCATATCTAAGGTAAAGCGGTGGGTCAGTCTTGGAAATCTCCTCAATATGAATCACTAGATGGCAAACCCGGCTCCGCCCGGGGCCAAACTTTGCACACATACACTTCGGGGCAGGCGTGTCATAGTCCACTTTTCGTTATCGATCGATGTCGACCCCCTAGCTCAAATTTTGCAAAAAATCGATAAAATCGATATCGATCGATAACGAAAAGTAGCCTATGACACGCTCCCTGCCCCGAAGTATATGTGTGCCAAGTTTGGTCCCGATCGGTTCAGAAATAAAAATTTCTATTCCGCACATACGTACAGACATACATACATACATACATACATACATACATACATTCAGCTTTATATATAAGATTGGCCATCTGAATCGCAGCACACTTAGTTGTTTCTGATGCGAAGATTGTAAACAAGCTCGGACTCTCCAGAGAAGTTCAAGTTCTCGAAAAAATGTTGAAGCTTCAGAAAAGACAGCTTCCACAAATGATTTCTTCGGGTCATGTTTGGACCGGAATCAAAAAAAAATAATTATGTGAGCAATGGCTGTCGGATCGGAGGAGTGTTTATGATGCCACACCTCTCAGAACATTTTGAAAAGGTTCTCGAACTTTCTGCGCACCTATAAGCGAAGTGACATATATTACGTCACAGGAATTTCACGCCTTCGCCTGCAGTAAATGGAAATTCCAGGGATTGACATAGAAAGCCACTTGTATTTTATAGCTCTTACACCATCTTCAAAATCTTAGACCCTTCCTGACCCAACGGTAAAAACAAAGCAAAGCAATCTAAACCTCAAAGTGGACTGAAGGATAAAATCTATGCAGTCGGTGCAAAAATGATACGCCTTATTCGCTGCGGCAGAGGAGATACCAAAATATAAAGAAAAATAAATCATACGATCAAGCAAAACAAGATCTACACAATGACATTTGATCACAAAAAGTTTCATCCATACTTCGGAAAAATAATCTGAAAAATTTCAAATATACAGATATCAGATCTCATGTTGAAACCTGCGCACCTGCAACTTGGTCAGCTTATCCACATCAAAAATTTATATCTATGTATGTACAATTGCCTTTTTTGTGGTTGGAATTGTAAGATTAAACTTGAAAATTTGGAAACGTCGCCTTTTCTGTACCCTTATAATTACAAAGTTTGTAGTATGGAAATACCTATGTCGGAACGTCCAGCATTGCTTTTGCTACAGCCCAATTCTCATTTTCTCAACTTCTAGCTTTAAAGGAATACTACACATGAAAGGCTGATATGATAAGTAAGTTTCTTGAACAAGTCTGAGGCTTGTAATAATTCTGAACAGAAATCCGATTTTTGTATTTGAGAATTTTCCTTCAAACTTCGCTTGTCGATTGCCTTATCGTAGAAATTGCTTTGCTCTATCGGAAGATATACTCCATGCAAATTTATATGTTCTCTGCGACGTAGAATAAGGAGTCTCACAACTTTTGCACCAACCTAATCCAACCTCCTCTTCTACTCTTATGGGCGATTTGCACTCTCAAGAACAGTTCAATTAAAAAATCTACCTGCCTGCGTGTGGATCAACAACAAGTGATGTACTATCTCCTTGCCGAGAACTGAGGATGATGGAATAGAGAAACTCACTTGACTCAACAATCATTCTTTTCGTAACTTTTCTGGGTTTCGCTTTGGATGGACTCTTGTCCGATAGTTTGCTGTTGTGAAGCAACTTAAGCAGTACTCTTGGTCTTCATGAAATAACAGTAATTCATGTACGAACACACCTCTTCATAACTTTCGAATGTCTTGAGCGTGTCTACCTCATCCACATCCTTATCATATCGTATTCGTTTCATGACTGGGTCGATAAATTGACCATCGCGAACTCCAGCTGCCGTCATCTCAACAACCTAGAAACCTAAGTTGATTGCTTCGTCAAACAATATGTTGAGATACCCACTATCCAGTGCTCTCTTCTGATATAACCTCCTTTGGGATCATGTATTTTCCACCCACGCAACTCTGGAGGAGCTTTCTGAAATTTCTAATTTTGAGCCTGCATGATTCTTGTTGTGTTCTACTAGATATGTAGGGCTTCAATTTTTGGAATCGAGAAATTTCACCTAGCTTGCATCGACGCTTCGCTGTGGGAAAGTTGGAAAATTACCTCTAGGAGCGGACCTTCGGAACGCGTAGCCAGATCGTAGATATAATCTCTATCGACTCGACCAAGTCCAGATGAACAGTGGGTAATGGTTTGGTATTTGTCACCTTAAAACGTTAAACTGACATGCCTGGAGAAAATAATCCACAGACAGTAAAACAGCTAACTCACCATCCCGAACAGCAAGCTGGTAGGTCACCTGGTTATCCTTGCCTTTGTCAATAGCGACTACTGCCACATCCAGTTCGTTGTCACCAAGATATGCTTTTAGTTTGAACCAACCATTCTTGGTCATTCTTAACAGACAATAATGAGCAGAGGTCCAGAACGAAAAATTGATTCAAATGTAAGAAGTAATTTTGAGAAGTAAGAAACAGAGCTTTCTTTTTTTTTGACTTTTGTTGCATTAGACAAAGATTTGGAAATGTAACCAAAGCATTACATTATATGTATGTTATTATATGTTATCAATGCTAGTAAAATTTAAGGTTATTATAAAATTATATACACTATAAATTCATACATTCCATGACATTTCTATTCAATGAGCAAAATCTCTTTAAAGTTTGCCTTCACAAGGGTTAGCTACTTGAAGTTTTCAGAAGACAAAGAACGTCTCTAGAATACTCTATGCACTATGTTCCTATATATCAATATCGTTTTGAGAAAAAAAAGCTGAATAATAACATGAAACACCATAAAGTGCCAAAACTTGCCTAGTACCCGGCTGATATGTCACATCTTTTCGCTTCACAACAATACCTTCTTCACCGGCACTCAACGCTTTTGAAAACAGTTGCTCCACTTCTTCCCTAACATATAAAAATTGAATTTTGTAACTACAAGCAACAGGTAAACACTCACTTTGTGTTAACAGTCTTCCTTGGGGCTACCGTTATGGTATCAATATGTTTGTTGTCTTTCAGAACAGCGACTTCAAGAGCTTGTATACGCTGATATAATGGAGCGTTCATAATGGATTTTCCATTCAGATGCAGTAAATCGAAGACAACCACAGCTAGAAGTACTTCATAATGGTTGAGCACAAACTGGCTCTGTAACTTACCAAGTTGTACATGATCTATAGGGTCGATGTGGCGGAAGGAATGGCTACGAAATTCCGAATTTTGGGATTTGAACTGACGGCGAACTGCAATAAAGTGAGAGTGATGATGTGTGGAAAAAAATCTCAAAAAATTCTCTCAGTGTTTCCATGATTTACATAGTGAATTTGCAACCTCAAAAGACTAAATATTGTCACAGCTCGCCAATGAGAAAGACATTAGCTCAACATTACACTAGGGCTGTAGATGCAACTTTTTTCTAACATCTTCTTTCAAGCGCTTATTTTCAGAGTAGAACCGATTTTCTCAAGAAAAAAAACCTTCCTACTCCTCAAAGAGTGATTCTTCTATAATAGTTTCTTAAATAAGTCCTCGCGTAGTACATCTTTGCTATTAGGGACTTTTGAGCTTTCATGAGAAAGAAACTAACAAAATTCTTTACTTCCGCTCTCTTTGCCCTATTTTCGCGAAAACCAACAAGTTTATTTCAAAAATAGGCATAGCAATTGCGAGGTTTTCTGCCAGAATGCTGCCGAATTTTCAAAAAAAAAATTCTGGGAAATTTTAAGCGCAATCTTGTGTTGTCAAAGACAATATGTGCAGTTCAAATTCTCAAGCGAAAGGCGTTCGCAAATCTTCCGCACAGTACAGCAAGGGTAGGTTTAGCATATTCAGTGGTATAAAAACGGTAGGTTTTCTCACATTTAGCGGAAAAAAATTAAAGGATAACAAGAAGGAAAGTTTGAAAAATGCTTTGAAATGACAGTTCGACATTTTGCGATATTTTCCCTTGAAAAAATTATCCGTAAAATAACTTGACACAACTACTTGAGCGACCATTAGCTACATAGAAGAGTAGAGTGTGCGCAATCCTACTATATTTGGGAATTATGATCTCTCAGAGTAAAATTTCCGAAAATTTCCTTTGGCAATCTTCAGGCTAGAAAATCCTTCTTTCAATAGTTATAGGAAGTCCGCACAGGGCGCGGAGAGTGCGCAAGGTAGGTATGTATGTATTGCGCGTCACTCCTCTTTCCTCGTGCACTCTCGCCGTCTGTTTTCTCTGCGCTTCTTCCAGTGAACTGTGCGTTCAATGTATGCAACAGCGTTGCTCTCCGTGCGCAGCGCGGACGGCCTGTACAATCATACAAGAGTATAGATTATAATGACAAAGGTTTGCTCTTCACAGTTGTCTTCATTGCGCTCAAAAAAAGGTCCGAAAGACTATCTCGTTCCAGAGTTGATTCATAATAACTTGCATAACATGAATCGATCTAAAATTTATGGCAGCGTGCCTAATCTACTTATTCACAAGTCTTATAATATGTGCAAGATAATTTCAGCCGCATAGTCGACATGTGAATTGTTACACACAAACTTTAAATGTTTGGTATCTCTGGGATGTGTGTTTCAGAACAGAAGAAACATCCTGTTTGAGTGGCAATTATTTCTTGACGAAGTACAGGCAAAAGAAAGCGAGATATCCCAATTTTCATAAGGTGCGCAGATATGAATCCTCGTAATTTTGGAAAATTACGAGAATCGCAAATAGCAACTTTGTTGCTCGGTTGGCAGCAAAAACTTGTGCACATATATCCAATCATCAAACCTCTATCTGTGCATTGACCAAAACATGAAAATGAAGATTGAAGTGAGTTTCTAAAAAACAAGCCATGTTGGTAACTAACCCTTTACTACTGATGAAACACTTTCCAATAATCGGTTCATGTCAGATGAAGCTTGAAACTATCTCCTCGCAAAAAAATTTTTTTTCTTCAACGAAATGCAAAAACCTATACATCTACAAAGAATTGCATTAGCCAACTCGATATTTGCGCAACCTTCACAAAAAAAGCACTCGCCTAATTTTTTCAGCTTCTTATCCCACAACATCAATTCGCAATCGAGGATGCAGTCAGTCACAGTCGATCGGAAAAGTGAGTGAATTCGACCCGATACTAAATCGGTCAGTTTTGACGAGCCTCCATAATCCTGATATGGAGTATCTGATCAGTTACTGATGAGGTTGACCAACTTACCTTTGTAAAATCTTTGCCATTCCTTGTATACCATTTATACTTATCGCGATCAATTTTGTGCAAAAGTACGTGCTCTCCATCGTATTTAGTCTCAACAAAGAACTCATCGCCACAGTTCTCTTTGATCTAAAAGGTCACTGGATACGTTGACACTTTGTACTGTATTCCCATCTCATTTACCACTTCCCACCAACCCTCCTTGGGAAGCCGTGCTAGCAGCATGGGACGAAAATTGGCTCCAAGAAGTGACTCATCGTCTTGCACAGTTGGGGCTACAACTTCTGCTAAATCGCGAGCAGCGTTCCATCGGCTCACAGCTTGTGGCCCTAGCCATGATAAAATGATATTGGTTGCCACACCAATCGTAGACTAAACAGTCGCAGCCAATTCAAATTCAATTAGAGTCAGGAATGTTGGATTACCTCAACATTTTTAATCATTATGTTGAATATCCAAAAAAGCTCGTCTTGAGAACAATTCTTGAAGAGGTACTGAAGGTTTGTGGTATCTGAAGTAAACGACGTAAATCGAAAAAGGATGAGTAAAGCTCCTCTATCAAAAACTGCCTTATGAAAAAAATATTCGACATTATATTAGGTTATTTTATAATACCATGCTCATCAAACCACGGAAAAAATCATTGCTGGTATAGGATAAAAATCTGAAAATATCTTACCTGAGCTCTCGCTCATGTTATCTAGTCTCTTGTTTATCTCTGCAACCGATAGGTGTTCAAAATCTTCTGGTGCAATCCGAGACGAAACTTCGGAAGCCAGAACTTCACAAACTTTTGTAGCATTCTAAACGCCAAGCGCTCAAGAAAATCAAAACACCAAGTGTAATATAAACGAAGTAAGAGTCATCACCTGGACTTTTGCGTTAGGAATATCGGCGGGCTTGAGAGCCAAAGCCTTACAGACTCGATCCACCAATTTTTTCTGAATGTAGAACATTTGTTGGGAAACAAAGGATACAGACTATCGTTTTAAAACATACTTCTTTTATATTTAAACTCCTTGTGTCTTTTGTAGTAAGTAGAAGTCGGAGGATCTGAATGAGAGGACCTTATCAAAGGCGCTATATGGACTCGATGTTGCAATGTACATCACTAACGGTAGATTAGCTTTCAGTGTATTGCAGTGACGCACTGTATATGTATGTCTAGCTCTAGAAGGGTATCTCCTTCCTGATTCTTCACACGAACAGTGACAATATTTGAACGCTGGTACTTTACGTAGTTGGTAGTAGCAATCATTGACGCAGTTTGTACTAACAATAGAGCGAGTTTATTTCCAAAATCTTAGTACGAAATTGAGACCTCCATCTCGAAAACAGGATTGAACCAGTTCACTGATTTTCTGCACTGCAAAATGATGGAGGCTAAAAGTTGGTGTGGGGCTGAGCGTCAAACGCAGTGAGTTTGTGAAAACTCTCCACCTGCCTTTGTTTACAATTTTCCTAAATGAATATAAGCTAGGCAGCTGGAGTCATCGTGCTCCTTCTGCGTCCAAAATTGGCACAAGTCAAGTAAACGGGTTGCTTGATATCGTGAAGCACATACTTTTCTAAATTCGTCGTTTTGCGATGGAAAGAGATGGTAGAAAAAGCGCAAGAAAACGATATTTTCTGTCATGGGAGGAGAGAGAGAGGCGCAGAGGTGACTATACTGGCCGCTCTTGCCTATTTTGCGCAAGAAAAAAAAGAATTACATGGGAGACTTAACTCAACAGCATCAGGAAATGCTTAAGTAATTGTGGTAGAGGACTTTCTTCGTCGAAAAACTACGACAACGAGGAAGGCTGATAAAAGAGTTTTTCATAAAAATCAATCCCAAGAAGAATCGTAAGATAAACATGAAGGCGCCCCTTTAATTGCAATCTTGGATCTATAAGATGCCGACACAAAAATCGATCACAAAATAATGCACAAAAAATATAAACTTATTGAAAATAATTCTCCAAAATCTTACCGGATGGAAACCCAACTCAACATCCTCTCCTTCGCCACATTTGTCCGCACAACTCGCAACAAATTTTTCAAAGTGCTTCTTCCGCATCACCGATGCGGTAGCTCCCTTTGCCTCGCGTAATTTCGATAACAGAACGCATAAATCAGCAAATTTCAGCGCATCTGCCAGCATGTCCTGGAAATTGGCTCCGATACAAGAAAGTAACTGACTTTAACAGAACCTTTCCTTTTCATACATAATAAGCTAAAACAGATCAGACCGGGGAATCTAGATAACATAATCTCTACACTAGAGATAAAAAGAGGAACAAACTTGAGCGGAACTCACTACAAATGAAGGAACAATTTGCAGTTCAAAATGGAGATGTGACGGTTAAAGTCCTTTGCAAGATTCCGTTACTGAACTACGTGCTGCTAATCCCTTTGTGAATATTGACTGCATCAATATCAGGCCTAACACTCTGTATGAACACATAGGCGAACTGAGTTCCATTTTTATTTCAATGTATAATTTACAAAGCGATTTCTGCACTGATGCTGAGGATTACAAATTTATCAACTGGTCGTTTTCCTGAGAGTACACTAGCGATTCTAAGTTCTTGCACTATCTTGAGATGGAGCGAATAGCTTTGGCACTAGTGAGGTGAACATCACTCGTAAAACACAATGTTAGTCAGTCTTCCACGCGTAAATGGCGAAATCGACAAAAGAATTATCATGAAAACATGAAGTATATCACAAGAGAAATAATAAAAGTAACAGAAAATTGGATAAAACTACTAGGCACAATAATTACTATGTTGAAGCTACTTGACTAGCGATGCCCTGTGGCCTCACATATGGTCTTGATAAGTTCCATCTTTTCGCGTTGTCGTTGCTTTCTACGGCTAGTCCTCTCGACTTGCGCTTGAGCTTCTTTTTCTTCAGGAGACATGAGATGGCGTCTAAAGATAGATTAGAGATATCAGAGAGGAATGTGATTGTTCCATACATTCTTGAAAAGTCACAAAAACATCCTAATGAATATTTTGCAGAATGAGATGTAACTCCAGAGTTTACAGAAAAAAACTCACTTGCTAATATTATTCAATAGAGCTGTCTCCCAATCACCGCCACTTCTATGAACATGACGGAAGATGCGCAGGATGTTCGGGAAGGGCAAATACATAGGACCTTGCTGCCATCTGGAAACTCAAACGTAAGCATCGAAATGATACTCAAGTAAGCAACAACATAAAAACGCTCACTTTACGTATTTCTTTATCGGAAGCCTAACAGCTCGCATTCGACCACGTCTAGCCGCTCCGAGAGCTTCTCTTGCTGTATCCATAGTCACGCACAAAGCGATAGCGCCAACATTCAAGGGTCCGTCAATAACGTCTCTCGCATGCCTTGAATAATGAATGGAATGGAATGGAATACTGAGTGATTTAGAATGCTAACCTTGAGATATAAACAACTTCTTTATCCGGGAATGTCTCCCGGACTCCTTTATGTGTGAAATCGGGCAGAACCGTCTGGTGCGTGTACAAACCTCCGTAAAAACCGACAGACCTAGAACGGACGAATGCATTGCCGTGTATACATAATTACGCCTCTCGCTTACTTCTCTAGCCATTTTTGTGAGTCATCAGTGTTGGGAAAATTTACAAAGCTCAGATGTAATGGTGTTCTAGAGTCGAGGTTTTCCTGAAAACAAAAAATTTACACCAGTGAAATATTTCGCGGCAGTTCGACAAAACGTAGTTCAAAACTGTAAAGAAACATAAATGATAATCACCGATACAGAAGAATGAAATCAGATGCCAGATTGCTTACACTTATGACATACTGCATTTGATTCCCCAATTCAGCTTGAACTCGTTGCTTTTCTTTGAACATGTACTGCAGATCAAGCGCAATTTTGGGACGCTCTTCGCAACGCATAGCCGACACCATTCGTGCGCCTTGCGCGACGTGCACCTCTGAAACTGATCATCTCAAATGGTCGTAGTGGAAACGACCGAAAACTGTGAAGAAACTCACTCTTTCTATTACGCAGAGGATTATGCACCAATTGATAGAGATCTGGTCCATAGCCCATTTCACCACGCATAAACTTTGCTCTCTGGAAAGAGTCACTGATGTGAAACATATATCAATGACATGCAGCTTGACTATTAAAAATATGTCAAAATCGATCATGAAGATACAGAATTACCTCTTGTTCCAGCTGTGTTAAGAAACGTTCTTGTCTTGAACTCTTTCTCTGTTTATCCTTTTCCTGTCGTCTTTGCTTTATGGCAAGATATTCGAGAAAAGACACTCTATCGCCAACAGTTTCAGTCGTATTCAGCATTCTGCAAACAGTTCACCGCTGAGTGACTCAGGAAAATAAGTTTCGTGACTTTTATTCTATTTCAAAAGAGAGGTTTTCTGATACAGAAGATAGAACTAAGACTGTCGTCGATAAACCAGTGATTAACCGGGCCAACTGACAAACATGTCTAAAAAATATGAAGATAATACACTTTCCACTTACCGATACCAATCATCATCAGATAGAGACTGCGGAACATAGGTCCCCATGTATGCGTAGATCTGTAAATCAGCTACTGAGCTTCTGCGATCAAAATTGTTTTAGTTTAAAAATATGCAGATAGCCGTTTCTCAAGCAAGATCCACCTCCAATTCATTAACGATATCTCTCATTTTCTTATGATGTTTGAATGGCGCCAATTTCCAGACGTTCTCGGATGGCATCAATGCTTCTAGCTGCTTCTCATAATCCGTCTCCTGTGGTTGTGGCGGAAGACTTTGCTCATGCGCTATCATCTCAGCATCAGGATTACTGGAATAAGTGAGTGCACCGAATGGTAAGTGGAAATTAGAAATTCTTGTGCAATTCAATTAGTTTATTTTTTTAAAACAATGCAATGTTAGAGCGGGGCTGGTCTGACTTTCCAAAAACACTGAAAATGCGGCTCTACTCCATCTTTTATAACGCTCATACTCCATCACAGAACTAGATGAGCGTTCAAAAGTTGTAGATAACGGTCGAAGTCTGTTAAACTTACTATGATGTTTCTTGAGCCACTGTTGTAGAAGATGCTCGTACAGATCCTTGCGAGATGACAACTCGAAACGTCTCCAGATTCCTAGCGCACCGAATAGCACTCCTCGCAAGCACCTGCGGAAGCATCGCTGGAAATGGCAATTTTGAAGCCAGACCTCAACAGCCTACAGTGAAAAAGGAAAGTAAGGAGACGATACACTAGGACGTACGAAGAATGCAAGTAAAATTTTGTCAGAGATGTCGTTGGCGGGATGTTAGAGTCTGCAATTGCGGCCAGCACAGATTTATAGCGTCAATGATTCGTTGTCACAGCTAAATTTGCCCTGCCGACACTTAGGATTCCCTTTCCGTGCTTTTTGTGACTAAACTTGGTGTCCCAGGAATGTCTAAATTGACCTATTCTGATGTACTGGTAAAATGTAGGCTCCACTTGGCTATATACAACCCAAAAGTGGAGTTTTGCGATTTCACAAGCGCGTGGTGGCGGTCCAAACACGCATAGGAGGATGTTTACTAATGCGTGCTTGGCCGTTGTTTCCACCATTACGGTCGTTTGTCAACTTTGGAAGTGGCGTATCCTGATATTCGTTGTTCGACATGGCTGAAGAGTCTCCGACAGCTCCCGAGGCAGAGTTACTCCAAATGTCCAAGGACCAAAGGGCTTTATCAAATAACGACTTCTGCGTCCCCCTCCCTCCCCTGCTGCCTCCGGCAAACGCGGCAACGATGGCGGCCCCTCGTCTAAACCCTCTTTTACGAAGCTCGACTTCGATATAAGCAGTTCAACAGTTCAATAGCAGTTCAACTCCAATGCTGCGGTATTATCCGCGGTGTCCCCGGCCTTGGAGCCTGCCAAAGAATGGGGAGATCAAAGATTGCCTGCGGAGGACAATCACACTTCTATCAGAGGAATGAGCTGTTATCCATTGCGACAGATTCCGAAGTATTTGATTTCTACGACAAGCAATCGAAAGCGGTTGCTATGCAGTTAAAACCCTATTCTCGCCGCATCTATCCGCGAAAAGAAGAAAAAAGAGGACATGAAGCCGACACCGGTGAAGGGGCACTGTATGGAGTGGGTTTCTCAATAAAGATGATGGTGCTATGATCGTACTTTATGGAGCCACTTGGCAGCTATTATACTCTGATTCAGGGGCCCGTTCCGCCATACCCGCGGCCCTTTCGGGTCGGAGGGGCGGCTCGGGCCTCCGCCCTTTCTCCTTTCCAAACTCCCCGCCAACGACAAGGCTTTTAAACTCGCACATGTATCCCGGGTTTTAAGGCCGCCCCCGCGATATGGGCTTCAATGCGGCAGGTATGGCCACTATGCCTGCAAGTGTCGCGAGGAGCGAAACCTAATAGTGAGTTTCATGTTGGACATATCCATGACTGCCTAGAATTTTGGAAAAGTCTGAGGCCTGTCCCGTTTCTAAGACTTCTGCTTCAAGAAGGCTACACTCCCGAATTCTTTGCTGAGCCTGCATTAGGATTTATCAGAGACAACTGTAGGTCGGTGCTTTTACATGAAGGCTTCGTGGACTCAGAGATAGTGAGTCTCCTTCATACTGGGGCAGTGGTTAGGGAAGAAACGAAGAAGAAATTAGAGTCAATACCCTCTATGGCTGAAGGGAAAAAGTTGAGACTCATACTAGACCTATCAAGCCTTAACACCGTTGTGGTAAACAGTAGCGTGAAAGTCGAAAATGCTGCAAAAGTGGCTCCTTTATTGCCTGGCGGATTAATGGCATATTCGATTTGAAGTCAGGATATCACCATGTAAAAATTCACGAGCATTTTCACAAATACTTTGGGTTCTTTTGGAAGGGTAGTTTTTGCAAATTTAGTACTCCCATTTGGGTTGTCTTCCGCCCCCATGATTTTTACAAGATTTATGAAACCCTTGTTAGGTGATTGCGAGCAAGCGGGATTAATGTGGCGTTGTACCTGGATGAGGGGCTTATATGGGGTGAGGGACTTTATGGACGATAGCATGTGCCAGCCGCCAGCGGGGTATCGTACGCGATGCGCAGATCGGTGCGCCCCCTTGTTAATTAGCTTAGGAATGCGTTGCAGCTGTTGGAATCTTTTATATTTCGCTTCTTCAATTGGTTGCAGTTTGGATATACAGTAGATTTCAATCGAACTGCAAATCAACTTTCAAAATCAATTTTTATTACAAATTAGTTCGCAAGCTCTTTTTTAATCCATTTTATTTCTTGTTCCTAATAGGTCTGTCCAAATTGATTTTTCGCTGCAAGTATGAGGGATTTGTTTCGAAAATGCTTGAAAAAGTGTTTCAATTTAATTACATCTGTTACTAAATTGAATATTCTTCATTGTACACTCTCAAGCTTAATTTAAAACGAAGTCAGCTTATCGAAGAAGCATTATTATTATCGCTGAAATGACCAACATGACTATCTCTTCTATCGGATTTGCGATTTCAATAACTGGTGTAATCATTACATTTGGTAATGTTTCGCACAATCAGACAACACTCGTTTCGCAAATATGAGGTACAGGCAATGAGGGCAATCAGATTAATGTCAGTCTTGCAGATTCTACCACTACCTCTCTTTTGCATGTTGTTTGTTCTTGCTTGGCAGTACGTATGTCACCGCCCATCACTGAAGTTTCAAAACTTGCTTACCAATCCCTTTTGCTCAGCTATTTCGATTCTCATATAAAGTGTCTTTCGACTTTTCTGTTTCCAGTGTGCCTTTAGATCCCTTTTCCACACTCGGAAGCATTTGTTTATGGATAATCGATGATGGAAGTTGTTTATGTACGATTTTAAGATAATAATAAGTTGTTCACGGATGATATGTGCACATTAGGCAATAAGAAAACGAAGCACTCAAGATCTCGCAGGCCCATTCTTATTGGTATAATATTGCGTGAGCCGCTCCCTCGCTGTATAAGCCGATTCCGTGCCAGACTCTGGTTCTTCTCTTTCAAGGAGATAATAGGCGGCGTTCGGTGCTGGCTCAAACCTCTGGACAGCCTCCAGAGAGTCTTGCCTTCACGGGAGTAAGTTGTGAAGAATCTGAGACAACTGGTAGTTCCCCTGGTTTTTTTCATAAAGTCGGAAATCACCATAAGAGATATTACAAGTCGCTGAGTTTGAAGAGGATCCAAGTTCATGCAGTGCATCAAGACTTGGAACCTCTGAGCTGACAAGCCAAATGTTTGTTCTATTATTTGACGTGCACTAAAGCAATTATTAGGGCATTCCATATTGATCATGCAACAAAATCAGATTCACCCGTCAGTTGTTTGTTGAAGCGCTTTTATCCGGTGTATTGCCTCCGCTTCTCTATAAGGTCTGATGAACCTATGACCCTGGCCAAAACCACCGTTCACGAAAATGTGATATTGGACGATTTTCACGTTTCCAAGCTCCGTTGTAAACGGGAGTACATCGTCGTGTCTGTCCAAGAATCTCTGAAGCTTTCCTATGTAGTGCACCAAATTCGAGCCAAGCACAAACCTTCAAAGCGGAGTCGCGAAAGACTCCAGTGTCACTAGCGGCCTGGAGCTCCGACATCATAGGTGATGATGCGGTGGTCACAGTCGCACAAAGCCAAAAGGATGGTAGAATAGTAGTGTTGGTAATTATAAAAGATACTACCCGAGCGCGCAGGATTCTGAATGAAACGTCTCCAAAATTGACGAAAATTGTGTATGCGGAAAAACCTTGATGTGGATATGTTTCCCATCTATGAAGCCTACAGCTCTCGGGTAGTCAAATCTTTCCTGCGTTATTCGGGCAACTTGCATGAATTTGCCACGCTTGATACGAGGAAAGGCTTCACTATGCATCTCTAAATTAGTGCGTTTCTCGTAGTTTTCAATGCAAATTCATTACCAAATATGATTGCTTCTGTCACCTCCCTCAATAGCTGCTATTGTCAAGATACCAATTCCTATGTCTAAGGCGTAGGCTTTGAATGCAATTCCTCGCGACACTTTTTGAAAATATAGCCGAGAAGCGTATAGGGTACTAATCGGGGGTACTAATCGGAAAGATGGATATCATATGTGGCAAGTGTCAGGCCAAGAAGTTCAGAGCCGAACCTCCTGTCATATGCTGTTCCAGCAGCAAAGTCGATCTTCCGCCTATACGTGAGCCGCCTGAGCCGCTTCGTTCATACATGTCCGGCACGAGTGCTGTGTCCAGGCATTTCTTCCAGAACATCAGGAACCACAATGCGTGCTTCCAGATGACATCCTTTGGCACTACAGTAGCCACGGCCGACGTTGAGGAACAGGGCTTCATGCCAACGTTCAAAGTGCAGAGACAGGTCTTTCATAGAGCTGGATTCCTGCTTCCTTATGGCAATAATAACCCAAGCTCTTGCAGCTGTACTTCGTCTGCGACGAGCAGCTGCAAGCGAATCAACGTTGCGGCATTATCGGTGGCACAAGGTAGGACGTCGTGCTAAAGCTGCAAAGAATGCTGCATGACCACAACGACCTGGTGAAGGACTTCAAGACCAACCTGGACCAAATGTCTACAGACGAGTATAAGGTCGTTACCATGCTGACAGGAGGCCTGCTGGTCAGCATAACGACGCTTCAACGCTCCGTCTGTAAGCGAGATGGCGGTGGTCTTGGTTGGCGAAGACGACTGCGACGGACGCTCATCATCATTTAAAAACCTTGCGAAACGTTGCAGCGCATTTCTGAAACCCATAGGTCGTACGATGCCCTGCAGTATTCACTCATGTTCTGGGATGGGGTGGGTATCACTTCGAACTATGGTAGAGGAATCCTAGCACTGGTGCCCTCACCGACAAGAAGGTATCGGCTATGGTTTTTATGCGCATCGCATGATAATAAGGCCTACGTCCTTCAACCACGTCGTGAAATGTCGCCAACTATTTCACCAGTTTATCGTGTACACACCAAGATTGAGAGTGAACGGCTCCTCTTTGATCGACGCAATCAGCGAAAGCTTCGTGCCCACGACTACATCCACCTGCGGGATGCCGTGGCCGGAGATGGAAATGTCACTGACCTCGAGAAATGGTCATACTACCATCCTCCTTCACGGACGGCCCACGCCACATGCACGATTACACTCAAGACGCAATGGCCTATGTTAGAGCGTACGTGTCCCGATCTGTTCATCACGTTTAGTAACCCGCCGTGGACCGAA